TAGAGGCAAGCGAAGAGCTCTTAGAGCTTCCTCTTCTCTGCTGAGTGGAGGTTAAGAGCGTCTCTGTCTCACAGGTGACTGCAGGGCATTCAAAAAAAATCCTGCATCTAAAGCCCTCTCACACGGCCTCAGGGTGCCTGTGAAGGATGAATTAAATGGTTAATTACTATTGTTAATATTGTTTTATTCATCTATTCTTTCAAACTGTATTTGACGGACCCAACCCTACGGTACAAATGTGACCCAAATACAACTAGCCCCAGGCTCACAGAGCTGGGTATGTGCATATACGTATGAATGGATAAGCATATTTTATACACACACGCACACACACTGTTAAGTATTCCTTATCTGAAGTGCTTGGGATCAGAAATGTTTTGGATTTTTTCAGATTTTGGAATATTTGCCTATTCATAATGAGATATCTTAGGGATGGCACCCAAGTCCAAAGACCGAATTCATTTATACTTTATAAGCACAGCCTGAAGGTAACTGTATACAATATTTTAAATAATTTTGTGCATGAAACGAAGTTTGTGTTAAGTACTTATATATGAAACTTTCCACTTGTAGTGCGGCATCGTGTCAGTACGCAGACAGTTTCAGATTTTGGAGCTAGCCGGGCGCGGTGGCTCACGCCTGTAATCCCAGCACTTTGGGAGGCCGAGGCAAGCAAATCACCTGTGGTCGGGAGTTCAAGACCAGCCTGACCAACATGGTGAAACCCTGTCTCTACAAAAAGTACAAAAATTAGCCAGGCATAGTGGCACACGCCTGTAATTCCAGCTACTCAGGAGGTTGACTGAGGCAGGAGAATAGCGTGAACCTGGGGGGTGGAGGTTGCAGCGAGTTGAGATCACACCACTGCACTCCAGCCTGGGCAACTGAGCAAGATTCTGTCTCAAAAAAAAAAAAAAAGAAAACTTGGAGCATTTCGGATTTTGAATTAGGGATGTTCAACCTGTGTATGCGTGTGTGTGAGTGTGTGAGTGTGTGTGTGTGTATTTTTTTTGAGGTGGAGTCTCACTGTTGCCCAGGCTGGAGAGCAATGCAACCTCTGCCTCCCAGGTTCAAGCAATTCTCCTGCCTCAGCCTCCCAAGTAGCTGGGATTACAGGTGCCCGCCACCACGCCTGGCTAATTTTTGTATTTTTAGTAGAGACGAGGTTTCACCATGTTAGCCCAGGCTGGTCTCAAACTCTTGACCTGAGGTGATCCACCCACCTCAGCCTTCCAAAACGCTGGGATTACAGGCATGAGCCTCCACACCAGGCCCATGTATGTGTATCTTAAGTGTGTTAAATTCTACAAAGGGGAAGGAAAGGGAGCTACGATTACAGCATCTTTAGAGGACACCTGACTGAGCTCGGGAAACAAGACTCCTCTGAGGACTGAGATCTGACAGATGAGCAGTAGTTAACCAGGTATGGGAAGAGCTCATACAAAGGTCCTGTGGCTGGGGAGCGCTTGGGTCAGTGGAGGAATAGCAAGGAGGCCAAAATGACTTGTGCAAAGGAACAAGGCAGAGTGTAGGGTGGTGTGAGTCTGGAGGAGGGGCAAAGACCAGGCCATGCAGGACCCTAAAGGCCACAGTGAGGAGCCTAGGCTTTCTCTCAAGGGTACTTAGAAGCCATAGAGGTGCTGTGAGCAAGAAAGGGACAGGGTCAGTTTTGCGCTTTAGAAAGGCCTCTTGGACTCTTCTAGGGAGGACAGTCTGGAGGAGCCAGGACTGGAGGCCAGCGGACCAGAGAGGAGGCTGGGGCAGTAATACAGGAGCAAATGGAAAATGTCTATATAAATGTCATCTGACAGGAAAACTGAACCTAGTAAACAGGTGCCATTTCAAGCTGGGATCCCAAGGAGACAGAGGAGTTAAACAGGTGAGGAGGGGGTAATACAGGCCAAAGCCCCGTGGTGGCAGAAATAGAAGGCCAGTGGAGCTGTCCAAGGATGAAGCTCAGTGGTCAGACCACAAGGGTCTTTTAGGCCAGGGATAGTTTGGTCTTCCCCCCAAAACAACTGAAGCATCAAACAGGAGAGGGAAGTGGTCAGGTTTCACTTAATATTCACTCCTTTTTTTTTTTTCCTTTTTTTTGAGACAGAATCTAGCTCTGTCACCCAGGCTGGAGTGCAGTGGCGCCATCTCCGTGCACTGCAGCTTCCCCCTCCCAGGCTAAGCAATTCTCGTGCCTCAGTCACCCGAGTAGCTGGGACTACATGCACACACCACTAAGCCTGGCTAATTTATGTATCTTTAGTAGAGACGGGATTTCACCATTTTCGCCAGGCTGGTCTTGAACTCGTGACCTCAGGTGATCTGCCCACCTCGGCCTCCCAAAGTGCTGGGATTACAGGTGTGAGCCACCGTGCGCAGCCAACTTAATACTCACTCCTATTGTGTGCCAAGCCAAACCTCAAGAGTGGCTGAGCTCTTCTGGGAATGGGGAACCCAGCAACAAGCAAAACAGACAACGTTCTGGAGGTGGCCAGTCTAACGTCAGGACTGCTCTGAGGATTACAGAGACTTCCCTTTTTCTTGCTAACACCAGATCGGCACTGGGAGGCCACACCAAACGACACAGTATGTTACAACAAACAGAAGCTCTTGGGATCCTAACAATGATTATGCTCAAGAAAAGATTAATGAATATACTCCTGAGGAAATAAGCCTCTTGTCTTGACACACTTCCAAGCCCAGATTTTACCAGGATGACCTGTGTCCCCCAAACTAGGGTCCCCCACCCCAGACGAAAGGCCAGTTACTCACGATCTTTTCATAATACTCCCGTCTCCGCTCCGCCCTCTTCTTGTAGTCGACCATCATGCCTCGAAGTTTCCGCTCATGCTTCCGAGCCTCGTGCCACATTGTGGTGAGGCCAAGCCTGGGGCCTCAACCTGAGGGATGAAGGGACCAGGAAAGTCAGATGGGCTGTGAAAACCGTATGGGCAGAATCAAAGTCATCTAACAAGTTGGTGACAGAGTCGATCCCAAACAACACATCGCTTAGCTTCAGGGAGCAGAAGTGAAGCTGCAGAACGGTATGCCAGATGTTCAAGTCCATCCCTAACAACTTCGATCTGGCAACTTGAGCATTCTAAAAAACCCTTAGGTGATTCTGAGGTGAGCATCCCTGGGAAAGGGGTGTCCTACATTCCATGCGCTGGAGTCGGGGATGAAAGTTTTGAAACATCAGTAGGGTCAGTAGTTTGAAGTAGGGTCAGACGGCAAACCCTGAGCACCTAAGGCTGGAGCTCAAGGGAAAGAGAAGAGCTGAAAAGGCTCCCACTAGGGGCCATGCGTGGGTATGAGTCTGGGTGCTAGAGGGATAAGGAAGGTAAGGATGAAGGCAGGTGGAGGAAATCGGAGAAAGCCTTTAAGGGAACAGTGCAGTTGCACGAAGGTGGAGGTCGAGGACAGGTGAAGGGCGTGGCGGAAGATGAAGATGCTAGAGGGAGTGGGAACACGGGAAGGGAGTGTTGCAAGGAGACCAGAGTGAAGTTGAGGTCTAAAGATGGGATCTAGATGGCAGGGTGTGGAGAGTACCCAAGGAAAAAGAGGGTAGAGCTTGAGAGAGGCGGAGTTGGCTGACGGGAGGGCGTGGGCTGAGCTTGGGGGCAGGGCTTGTGGGAAAGGGAGGAGACCGAAGGTTTGGACAGGGCTTGTGGATCGCGTCGCGGCCTGAGGATTTGGGCTGGATTGTTTTTTTTTTGACATGGGGGCGGGGACTGTGATAAGCTGTTGGGCCGAAGGCCGAGTCCGACGCGGCAACTTCTGGCCCACAGCCGGGGCACGGGCGCGGCCTGAGGCCCATCAGGCCGAATGGGGTGAGGGACGAGCGATCCTCGGGGCCGGGACGCAGCAGAAGCCTACAGCAGTATGGGAAAAGCCTAAGGAAAGGGAGAAGCTGGGCTGACGCCTGCCCGAAAACCGGGAGGTCGAGCCCGCCGCCTGCACTCACCGGCTGGTCTCCGCCTCCCAAAGCTGCGCTCGCGCGCTGCCCGCACAGGAAGCGGAAATGAAAGGCCGCGCTAGGGGGAGGGGGCGGAGCGTGGTGGAGCTCTGCACAGCGCAGTTCCGCCGACGTGAGGGGCGGGTCCTAGGGTTGAGAGGGGCGGGGTCAGAGGAAGAAGCGGTAGAACGGAGAAGGGAAGAGCTTGGATGCTTTATCTTTTTATCTTTTTTATTTTATTTATTTATTTTTATTTTTATTTATTTATTTTTGATTGCAAAAATTTATTAAAATTGGAGACACTGTTTTAATCTTCTTGTGCCATGAGACTCCATCAGGCTGTCTACAAAGACCATTGGGAGGCTGAGGATCACTTGAGCCCAGAGGTCTGAGGCTGTAGTAAGCTTCAGAGGGCCACTGCACTCCAGCTTAGGTGAGGAAAGACCCTGTCTTTCAAGCGGTAAGCTGCATGCTTGCTTGCTGTGGTCATTAAAAACCCTAGTTTAGGATAACAGGTCTGCCTGTTTGAAGATGAAAAATAATCCCATTTAAAATTTGCCCTACTCCATTTCCATTTCAGTCACATTTCAACTTTTAAACAGCTAATCACTCCCATCTACAGATTAAGATGTATATGCCACTAAAACCTTTTGCCACCTTAAAAATTTCCTTGAGGCCGGGCGCGGTGGCTCAAGCCTGTAATCCCAGCACTTTGGGAGGCCGAGACGGGTGGATCACGAGGTCAGGAGATCGAGACCATCCTGGTGAACACGGTGAAACCCCGTCTCTACTAAAAAATACAAAAATCTAGCCGGGCATGGTGGCGGGCGCCTGTAGTCCCAGCTACTCGGGAGGTTGAGGCAGGAGAATGGCGTAAACCCGGGAGGCGGAGCTTGCAGTGAGCTGAGATCCGGCCACTGCACTCCAGCCTGGGTGACAGGGTAAGACCCCGTTTCCAAAAAAAAAAAAAAAAATTTCCTTGAAAGTTTAAACTAACCTGCATTTCTTCAAGCATGAAATCTGAGTCCTGAAATTAAGGGACAATACACAGTAAGACAACTTGCATACAATTAAGGGTAACCCAAAATCTCCAAACACTATAGAATGACTATATTCCCCTTTTCAGGGCATAAACTAGAATGTTACAGCCATCTTTTTATCTTTTTTATTTTATTTTATTTTTTTTCTGAGACGGAGTCTGTCTTTGTCGCCCAGGCTAGAGTGGCGCGATCTAGGCTCACTGCAACCTTTGCCTCCTGGGTTCAAGCGATTCTCCCACCTCAGCCTCCCGAGTAGCTGGGACTACAGGCATGCGCCACCATGCCCAGCTAATTTTTGTATTTTTTGTAGAGACTAGGTTTCGTCTTGTTGCCCAGGCTGATCTCAAACTCGTGAGCTCAAGCCATCCTCCCGCCTTGGCCTCCCAAAGTGCTGGGATGACAGGCCTGAGCCCCCAGCCAGGGGGCTTTCTTTGCTACGTAAGGAACTAGGGCGTTTCCCAAGCGCAGAATAGACGAAACCCCCGAGGCTCAAAAACTCATCTTTATTGGGAAGACTCTGAACAACCAACCTACCCCCCACCCTCAAGTCTGGGGAGGAAGGGCCGGGCATCTGCCCCCTCCTCCCATATGTACAATCTTTTCCGAATCCTACTGGAGAAGGTTCCCCGACATGTGGTGACAGAGGCAGCTTTAACAAGCTAGTGCACGGGAGCCATGTCCCTTTTCCTCTCCGGACTCAGTTTCCTCATCTGCAAAATGGGCTCAAGGGGAAACCCGTGCAACGGAGCTTCTCGCCAAGGCTTGAATATGTCCATTTCAGAAGCATGAGGAAGGGCCAAGGGGATGGGGGTGCTAGACATCCTGGTTGGGATTGCACAGCTCCTCCACCTCCCTCCCCACCCAGTGCCCCTCCTCTGGCATCGCGGGGCTACGTGGCTTCAGGCCCCGGGGATAGGAGGCCGCCCCCAAAGGCTGCCTCGCGGTACTGATTGGGGAACATGTTGCTGCCTACGAGGCTGGCAGTGCCTCCATCCCCGGGGCCCGGGGCCTGGTACGAGTCCAGCGTCAGCGGTTCAGGGCCAGGGGGCTCCCCAACCACGGCCCCGGCACTGCATACAACAGCGCTAGCATGTGGCGGTGCCGGGGGCAGCAGGTCCAGCATGGTGAAGAGTGTGGGGGCCGTAGGGTCGTAGGCAAAGCCATCATCCAGGAGGTCAGGCCCGCCAGGGGGCTCCAGGCCGGGCAGGGACACGGTGCCAGAGAAGAAGTCAGGGTCTGGCAGCAGGGCTGATGGCGGGAGGAACGGGCCTACGGGGATGAAGACAGAGAAGTGTAGTGTGATTTAGGGCCAACTTCTGACCAGACCCTAATTCAAATGCCCCACTTCCTGCAAAATGTGATATCAAGGTGGCCTTTTTTTTTATTTTTGAGATGGAATCTCATTCTGTCGCCCAGGCTGGAAGGCAGTCGTGTACTCTTGGCTCACTGCAACCTCTTCCTCCCCGGTTCAAGTCGATTCCCCTGCTTCAGTCTCCCGAGTAGCTGGAACTACAGGCACGTGCCACGCCCAGCTAATTATTCTTTTTAGTAGAGATGGGGTTTCATCATGTTTGCCAGGCTGGTCTCGAACTCCTGACCTCAGGTGATCCACCTGCCTCAGCCTCCCAAAGTGCTGGGATTACAGGTGTGAGCCACCAAGCCTGGTCTTAAGGTGCCATCTTAATCCCAAGGAGAATCCATGTGGGACTATCACCATTCTCAGATAATAACTAAATTGAAGGCCAAGAATGTAGCCTTCTGGCATGGTGGTTCACACCTGTAATCCCAACACAACATAGCAAGACCCTGTCTCTACGAAAAAATTATTTAAAAGTTAGCTGGATGTGGTGGTGCACGCCTGTAGTCCCAGCTACTTGGCAGGCTGAGGCAGAAGGATTGCTTGAGCCCAGTTTGAGGCTGCAGGGAAGTATGATTACATCACTGCACTCCAGCCTGGGCAACAGAGCAAGACCTTGTCTCTAAAAGTAGTGATAATAAGAAGTAAACTAAGGCACTGAGGGCACTGAGGGAAAGTCAGTGGAAGGCTCACACAACTGTTGTGGAACTAGCATGTGAAACCATGCTCCTACACAGCTGTGGAGAGTTTTCCCTGAGAGTGAGGAAGGAGAAGAGGTTCCAAAGCCCCCCAACATACAGAGACAACCCAAATAGTGAAATCTCCAGACCATGGGAGACACAAGTTGGGAAGTCACCAGTCCCAAAATTGTCAGAAAAAATAAATGTCGGCCGGGCGCGGTGGCTCAAGCCTGTAATCCCAGCACTTTGGGAGGCCGAGACGGGTGGATCACGAGGTCAGGAGATCGACACCATCCTGGCTAACAAGGTGAAACCCCGTCTCTACTAAAAAATACAAAAAACTAGCC